TCATTTAAACTTCACGATATTTCATCTTTGGGAGATCTACGTGGATTAACCCATCAAATTACGAAATTTTTATGAACCGAAAAAAAAGCAAACAAAGCCGAAAATAAGATAACCGAGTGTCTAAACCTGTCTTGAGGCACTAACAAAAAATGTAGAGAGAGTAATTTTACCAATAAAACTTCTCCCTAACCCTAACCTGACCCGAACCCGAATTTTAACTGCTCGCTTTACCCTCTTCCGATTAAGGAAATTTTAAACCTGGTTCAGTGATACTAATCTATTTATAGTATGCTATTTGTTTAACCGTAACAAACGTTCTAACTTGTATTTTTTATTGTTTTAACAGGTTAAAGTGAATGATGATCAATGGGTTTATTTTATTATTGTCCTTCGGAATTGAACTAACCAATTATGGATTTACTGTCAAGCGTCTTCAGAGTCGATAACGGCTTATACCGAAGCCGGTTTTAGCTGCAACTAAGTAGCGATAGGCTTTTTAAAGTCATAGCTCCCTGGTTATTGAAGCCACGACTTGTGTTATGGCTAGAGCATGGCTTGAGCCATGGTTCAGACTGTAACTATAATATTTTACCGATACGGTATTGCAGTAGCGATGCACTAAATATTATTACATAGCTACATTAATAATGATTTTAAACAATATAGAAGCCATCCAATCATTAACATATATAAAAATCATTAATAGGCGGAATTTGGTCTTCAAAACTCTTCGTCATATAATGTCAGATTTTCATCTGATTTTTTTTTTTTTTAATAATCAATTGAACATTATTAATCAATATCGATATATTAATTAATTTATAATTTAAAATTCTTTAAGCACAAAATTAATAAGTCGAAGCTCAATTTCTAATTCGTGAAAAGTGGTTTAACCGATAGGCAACACTTCAAACATATAAGTAAGACCTGTATGGGTGTGAATGTAAAAGTATATATATGTATCTATATAATATAAAGCGCTAATAGATTTAGATGATCCCCGATCGAGATGAAAACTTGTAAAATCGCCAATTTAGGTTAGTATACCCCAGAATACGTATACCGAAGACAATATCATAAATACAAATTCGTTAAGTTTCTTTTTCTTTATTTAGTTGCCAATACAGCTGTCCTCTTTAACGGTCCTCTTTAATGCTACTATAACAGGAAACACCTCGAACATCGTATAAGTAACATTAAAAATTTTTAGTTTAGTTGGCTTGTCTTTAGTATATGTATTTTGAGGCTATGCTATCCTAAATTGGCGATTTTACAGGTCTTTATCTCGTTTGGTGATCATCTAAAGATGTGTAAATTTTATTGGTGCTTTATATTATTATTATTATTTCTTAAATTCACACTAACCATATGTATGTTTTAATCAACAAATTCGTGAGATAATTATTTTTATTATTCCTATTAGTGTATAATAAATACTTGGTAATAAGGCCGATATGCGCTATGCTCGATTTAGATAATCAATAACCTAATTATGTCTAGAATAATAATTGATACTATAATATAGAAATTGGGATTGTTATTTTCAGGTACTAATTTAATACAAGTTTATAAAGCTTACATGACCATTGTTTTATTATAGAAACGTGCTAATTCAGGTTTGTTATACGTATGATTATAATTACTTTCCTTTTAAAAGATAATTCCATACTTTGCTAAATTCTTGCATTTTTGCGTAAGAGACAAAATATCCAATATTTAGTGTAAATTATCAATAATATAAGGGCTCTAAGAGGAAATTTTCATAGCAAAGCGCTAATTTAGCAAAGTATATATATGCTATATTTGAACCTTGAATTAAATAATAATAAATTTTGTTTAATGCTTAAAACAATCATTTATAGATCAAGAAATTTTAACATGTGTTATCGATTAACGCAAAATCAAGATTTTGCCAATTACATAAATATCCGTCAAACTAATTTGTTTATAGATCTTAGATTTATTTGTAATGTATATAGATCTGTACACTTGATTTTGATTCGCTCTTTGTGAGCCGTGTTTAATGTTAATTCCGTATGCCATAATGGGTAAGTTTGTTAGTTATCTCATCTTAATTGATAAATCACCAAAAAATGTTATTAATCAATATTAAATTATGCGGTAAGTAACCAAACTATGTATAGTAAATAAATCCTGTTTAATTCAAATACTTTGCTTTTATGTTGAAATACCTGTGTACATCCTTTTTTCGTAGATAATATTAATGTTAATATTACACATGTGTGATTTTAGCTGATATATAAATGCTATTTAGTTTAATATCTTTATTTTTACTATAAAATAATTATGCACGAATTGAATTCTTTTTTTGTAAATAAGATTAATGTTAGTTTTGTGCATACGTGTTATCGTATGATTTTGGCTGCATAAGAATAAAACAATAATGTAAATAACAATTAAACTAACCCATATAGTATTAACATAAGCTTGAACGATAAAGCCCGTAATAAATGAACAATTGCTTTGATAATTATTGTTAATGTTGATTCTCGTATGATTCTTTAAAGATAATGTAATATTGTATTCACTTAAAATTACATAATAAAGATTGATAATCTTACTACTAGTAACGATATAAAAAAAATTTAATGATTTTTCTATATAAAGATAAAAATATATTCACGATCATGTAATTATTACAATCGTAAAATTTCTGATAGCAGAAAAATGGTTTCTCACGTTTCACTTATTGTGGTCATAATCTCTGTAAAAAACAACCGCTCATGCTCAGATGGAGTTGCCAAATACAAACTTACTAAGGATTTATCTCAAGCTATCAGATTTAAATATTTCTTTTCTGCACACCAACCACCTCAGACATTTATGAATGGAGACATTGTATTTATCTCTGGTAAATATGTTGTCGAAAATTCTGAGCCGTATTTCACTATTGCATACTCAAGCATTATTGACAGTGGTAATCCCAATCGTGAATTTGATATAAGTGATGTACCTATAAGCATCCCTTATTGCATTTACTCTGTGACTATTAACCGTGAGCCAAAAAAAGTTGAAAATTTTATCCACTTTGGAGCAGAAACTATCCAATATAATTCCATCACCAGTAAACCTGAAGTTAAAATGAATATGACGATTATTTATCCTCATGAATCACCCAGGCTTAAATACTTAGGCCATTTGGGCTCTAATATTAAATTACAATCTAACTATTTTGTATCCGGACTTCTTAAATTTTCAAAATCTGGTAAAATTATGATTGAAGCCACCGACGTTGATTATCTGAAAACCTCTACTATCAATATTACTAGAACTGAAAGTTCTCAATCAGCAACAGAAGGTGCACCTTCAATAATTGATATCATCGATAATGATCTTGATTCTATTGCCACGCAACAACATAATTCATTTAAATCTTCGACCAATGCTAATGGTAATGTTGACTGATCTCATGATACAATAAAATCTGATATTATTAATACTAATAATAAAGTAAACCGATCCCATAATACAAAAAAATCAGATATCATTAATGCTAATAATGAAGATAACCGATTCCGTGATACAAAAAATTATCATACTACCGTTGAAGATTATCTGAGTGATGAAGTACAATCTGATAATAGAGACTTTTATGAAAAACCTAACGATTCAGCTGATGTTGAAAACTCGCAAGTAATTGAAGAGCAAGAGGAAGAACTTCAACCTAAAAAAAGAAAGAGAAATACAAGAGAAAAAAAAAAAAAATTCTGAAAATATAATTAATCAACTACGTTTAGCTGAATTTGATAATATTAAATAGTTTACTTATTATGTAGTGAACTAGGTCTTATTAATACATATAGACTCTATATAACTGTGTGGTCAATTTGAGTTTTATTTTTTTTGTTGTTCCTATTTTTATTATCCATAATTTTTATTTCTAAAAATAAAAATAGGCTTGTCATTTTTTCTTATATGGAATGCAATTAAAAATTTAATTATTGATTTATTTACCTAAAAATTATAAAACAATATGATAGTAAAAGTAATTCATTAAATAAAATTTACTGTTTTATTTGATTTCTTTAATGCATAAAATAAAAATATATATATGACCGAAGCTCTCATTCAATATATAGTCACTCAATTGAATTCTAAAAATTAAAAAGTTTTAAGTAAAAGATGTCTTACATTTTTGTATAACTGTTCTCTTTTTTTTGATAACCAGATCTTTTATATATTATGAATTACGTTACTATTACGATATGTGAAAATTTATCACATTATATCCAAAAATTATGATCTAATAATACGACTCAAAATTATACCTCAGAAAAATTGTAACTACATCAGCAAATTTAATAGGGCATAATATTGCACAATAATTTACGAAGCGTAAGAAAACCGTAATATTACGTAATAACTTTCGCAATATTGCGAAATATA